ATGATCCAACATGTTATCTGCCACTGATTCTGCATATCTCAGAAATTAATTCTGATTGTTCAGCGTGATTTTGATTTAGAAGCGAACATCTATGGCTAGAAGCTGGCTGTACAAATGAATTTCTTGCAATTATTTGCTTTTGCTTCATTCTGAATGTTGAATACTGAATCAATAATTCAATTAGGGATTTGTGACTAATCTTGCGAAAGATAGTTCCACGTTTTTGGAAACTACCGCAGTTTTTCACTAATACCATATTGCGATCATTGTTATGAGTTTGTTCATGTTATCATTACATTATATTTTTTGGTGTGTTATCATTATCATATACTTCTTATGCCTTGCTCTTTCTAATATTCAGTTCCCTCTCGAAGATATTTCATTTTTCGGTAAGTACGATGAAAAAACTTGAATCATTGAAGTGTATTCTTCGTTGTTGTACACTGCTATTCATTTTTACTTTATGTTTGCAAATCAATATCTATTCATGAATTATCCCACACAATCCATGCAACTAAATCTGAACAGATGCTAGCGGTAATATAATGGAGCTTTTAAGTTATAAAGCTGAATATTCTCATCCACAAAATTGGATCTTTCTTATTACCAAATCGATAATCAGAAGAAACCATCTTCTTTTATGAGTAAAAAAATGAAACAATGTCATTTTTGCAAACAGTGTTCAATCCTGATGAAAGAACAGACAGGCGATTCTTGAAATCAGCTGACTTCATCTTATTTCCAATAGGATCCAGTAAGTTTCCCGTTGATTTTCGATCGTTAAGCAAAACAATCTCAGTGTATGTAAACAATGTACCTCGAGAACGGATCTTGCTGATTTGATAAAAGCATACGCACGGACATTTCTTTTCTGAATTGCTTATCGACGTCACTTTATCATATCCATCAATGGATGCTAATAGAGAAAAACCGGAAATTTAATACAGTCAACTGGCTTATTAGCATAATTTGTTGCGAAATACCAGTATCCAATTTTATGAACGACTGAAGGAAGGAGGAATTATAAAAGGACATCAATCAGTCATCATTTTTTGACGTCGTTTGTGGAGTTAATTGAAATGACACTTCAGAGGTTATGACAGAATCTGAATCAGAAGAATCTTCAGTTTCAGAATCAGTTATGAAGCATTCTTGTGATTTTGTGAGATCCATCGTATAAATGATCTTTGTTTGCCCTTTATGATCTCTGGAAAATAGTTTCATTTTAAAAAGTTCCCCATCAGTAAAAAAAGATCTTCTCCTTGAAACAAATGATGATATCCATTAGAAGAACTGATAAAACATAACGTAAAACCTTGCCGCAACAAGCTTCGCGGGGAAACAAATGTCTGCACAGAACAGAACCCAAGCATATGCGAAGGACTTAGTTTAGCCCTGATTGTGAACACTTATTTTAGTCCTTTTATGTGACTGCATTTTGAATTCATTTTGAATGAACCCCACAGAAAGTTTGTGTTCAACAATCTCGCGACAGTCCCCACCCTATGAATTCTTATCGTTAGTGCCGTCTGTATTTCCACGTTGAACCGGATCATGCTATCAAATCCGTTACCTTCTATCGCAGAAACACCTAGATAAAAACGTATTTCTTTGATCGCTGCCACATGAAAGTCATTGAAAATACTTTAGGCACATTCGTTTCGTTTCTTCGGTTATATCGCATGATGTAATAATATGTGAATACATGAACTAACCTTTTGCACTGCAATTTCAGTCAATTGCACTTGAACGATTGATTGACTGTGAGTTTCATTAGCGAAAATGGTCGAGGGAGAGTGTGTATTGGTGAGTGTGTTCATTGTTTAGGGTCTTTGTTTATTTGCTTGATAGTTTTCGTTATTTACCGTATCCAATCAATATCAGTTTGTTTTCAGGAATAAAAGTTTTTGTTCGATTACTGTTTGTATTGTGGATTGTACGAATTAGGGGAATCATGTTTGCAGAAAGATCGTTGATGAACAACTGTAATGAATGAGTTCTCTTTTGTAGATTGAACTGACAGAAGATGAATGCAATGCTATAATCGGGTGGTACTCGACACGGGACAAAGTTAACGGCCGGACCGGTCAGTACATCAATAGTAATGGCGATGAAGTATTTGGAGATTGCGGAAGAGGGAGTGCGATTTTTAGTTGTTTGGTTGTTTTATTTTTGAAAGATATCGCAATCTGAATTGATGGAGTATCACATGCTCAATCGTTTCATTTCTGTCACTGATTTTGCTTTTGTGTATCAGTTTTTCTAAATGTTTACAAAAACTTGAGAAAAGTTTTCTTGAGAATTTTTTCTGGCTCAAGAATGGTTCTACGATCATTGGTCTGTGAGCTCAAATTCGACGTCAACAAATTCAATGATCTGGTTCAATACTTTGACAACTTTCGATCATTTCTTGGAAGTCCGATTATATCTGAGTTGATCTCACCCTCTGCGATTTACAGCCAGTGCTTTGTTTTTACGTTGACATTTTACGAATCAAAGGGAATACTCACCTTGATAAGGTTGCTTGTGTTGCCATCCCCTTTGCATTTGCTGCTGGAATGAAGAAAAGTACCAATTTAATAGCTTTGTTATCGTGTTAGTCACATCAATATCACCGAGTGAATTGTTACTGATATGAATCATTATTATTGAGGTGGTTACTGATAAGCTTGATTTCACTTTGCTTTTGTAAGCCTTTATCCATATGTAAAATTGCTTCGCTTTAGATACTCCAATCACCGTGGCTATCTATCTCTTTTCAGAATATTATTACAATACACCATTATCATAATTGTCATTGTCATTTTTGAGTTTGTTTCACCAAAAAAAAAGTTCATTGAATCGCACTGAAATTTGACTTTTTCAAATTTGCACTCACGAAAATCACATCGATTCACTGAAATTGAATCCTCTTAAGTGCCAAATAAATCAGATGTTTTTTCAGGCAATAATATAGTCAAATCATATACTCAACGATGATTCATATTATGATGGAATCGTGAATCATCTTGATGGTATTATCGCTTATTTTCTTACGCATTATATTCACTGCATAAAATCAGAATTGTGTAATACAGGAAAAGTGAACAATGAATGTTCGAAATGCACGATTCATGCATTAAAATGTGACTTTTAAGCGGTAATGAAGCGAAAATGCAAAGGGAGAAACATCAAAAAAGAGAAATTTCATCAGCAGAATGCATTTCAATTGATTTCATTAGAATATTAACGATAATTTAACAACATATCAAAGATTTCTCAAGTGTTTACAATACCTGTTTATCTGTTGTACCTCTTTTGCTTCATTTTTCAAGTAAATGTGGTCAATATGATGGCAATCATAATGATCGAGGCGATGTATGTAATGACAGAGGATATGGTGGCGGGGGTTAGGAGGAGGGTGTGGATGACGATAGAATTAGTGATGGCATCCGAGGCAAATTACATCTTGATAGGAAATCGACCGATCTGACTTTTTAACATTTCGATCGATTGTTGGAAGTTATAGATCACATTGCATTCTGACATTCCAAATTTCGACCGACCTTCTAAATTGTTCGATCGGAATCCGAATATCGGAATTCCGATCTGTACATTACTTTAGCAGTATCAGGGTTACCATCTTCAATCTGTCGCTGTTCTAAGATTTGCCCAGTAACGTGGTCATTTCTTCACACCAGCGGACTCCCCAGGTTTTCTAGTTTTAAAAATGTATATATGTTGTCGGACGATTTTGCTTACCTTTAGAGAAATAGCTGATTTTTTGAAGGCATCTCATTTGCTCCGAAAAGAGTATGGCGGTGGTGGGAGATCTGTCGTGCTGATGGGTATGGTGGTGGATGCTGTGATGGGGATATATTGGAAGAGGATATGACGGCGGAGGGGGTTAATATGATAACCGGCGCAATGGCTACGATGATCGAGACCGATATGGCAAGGAGCGAAAGAAGAGCCATAAGATCAGCGGAGTGCCCAGTTTGATCGCTATCGCTATGCGAATATACCTATCCTATGTCACTGTGACTGTTATGCTTATATTTCCCCCGCAACAAATCACTAAATTCACACGCAACGCTACCTCCTCATGTATAAATCCTTCCCTGCAAGAGTCATCAACTCAACTACAAAAATTTCATGTCCACTCGGTCGAAATACATCAAAAAAGCACATATCTTTTTCCATACGAACAGCTGTGCAAATTCCGCTCGTTAACATTCTCCATTGCTTAATTTCAAGCAAGTAAAAACATTCGAATCGATGCTTACGCCGTATAAACGAATTCTTTTATGTATCCTCTCAACAAACTTCAGAAGACATGAATGTCTTGCATTATAGCATTTGATAGTGAGGATCAACTTTCTGCCCAGGAGATGTTTCATGTGGAGGGGATGTGAATATTGGTGATGTGGCAGGTTTGATTAGTTCTTTATCAGGTAGTAAGAGTGATATAATCGGCGGATTAATTAGTGGTATTCATGGACTAATCAATAAAAAGAATGACAAATATAGTGGCGGAGGACAAACTCTTACTCATATCCGGATATTACCATTCATCCATCTCCCTTCATGCAAAACAAAGCGTCTGAGGACCGAAAACGAGACAGCGTTGAATCTTAGAACTGAGCTTCTTGGACACCGACTATTACTCTGCTGAGATGAAGGCTATGCGCATCCCCATTGTGGATGTTTTCATTAACCGTGGTCATCACAGAACAATCCGCAATTGGACAACATGATCGTACTCGTTGTAAATGATCGTTATTTTGAATCAGCAGACATAAAAGCAAATCTGCGATACTGTATCTCTCATTGATTGCACGTGGCCTGTCAAATGAAATTTGATGTACACCTGAGAGGAACCACCAAACTATTTCATTGACTTGATTTTGTCATTTCGGAAACTTTTAAATGTTAACCATCATATTTTTGTAAGTATAGTGATGCAGATTCAGATATTCTCTGATTGGATTTTTTGCAATCTCCTGAATGTCTTTTCAGGATCAAATGTTAATCTGGATGAGTTGACAGGTGGGATGGGGGACGTGGTTAGCGTCCTCATAGACCAGTCTACGCATCGTTTTCGTTGTGTAGATCCGGTAAGTGGCCGAATCATTGNGGAAATGAGTTATTCAATCTCGGTTTGTATTATTGTTCGTTTGTTCATTTGTTGTGGCTCAAACGACTGAAGCAATTGGAACATTCGTTGAGAAGGTTCGAAGTGAAAGTTCTTGCCATTTTCAGGTGGTAAACACAATAAGTTAGGTAAGGTTGGTAAAGTGGTTCTGGACAATATCATAAGTGAAAGATTCGAGAGGAAGGTAAATTGAGCAACTATTCCTGAATCGTTAGATCGTAAATAATTATTGGCGTATTTAGTGTGCTGATATCTTGCTCTAATGATAAGTTATTCGTAGCAATCATTTTTCATTTTCATGTCACAATTTGCATGTACACTTATGATTTATCAATAAATCATCGCTTTGTTGAGTTGATGCAGGCTTTTACGAATTTGATCAGTTTGTATATGATCTGAGACGATTTGTTTGAACAGTTCATCGCCAATCGAAGACTCACTGTGACATGACAAAACCGTTATTTAGAATTGTAATGCACGAAATATGAAAAACGAGTCCTGAGAAATTCATTCTTTTTTATTAACACTCGTAAAAGATGTGTTCTGCCTAATTCAATAATTTTCATTCTAATATGAGCAAATTTCATCCTAATAATGAGCAAATTTGATCCTCTAAAACGCTCATTCTTATGTTGATATTTTCGGGATGATTCATTCAAATGGCTACGTTAGAATGAATCATCCCAAAAAGATTGTGGTCTTTTCCACTCCGCTCTGCTACAGTTCGTTTGGTACCCCGAAAAATTATTTGAATACTTAAAAGTTTCGAGTTTATAGGTTGTAACATGGCCCACAGGCAATGCACCTTCTGATGTAAATACTCGATCAAATACTACCTCAGGCTGTGCGTTGATGCGGTCACCTTTCGATTATCACGTAATTCTCTTCATTGCTTTCAAATCGACATATTTTTCATTCGCCTTCCTACTCCTATTACTCACGTTTGAACCACTACTTTCAAGCACCAGCCGAACAGTTGATACTTATTTCTATGCTTACATATGCATTAAAATTGTAAACATCGAATCAGACCATGTTCAGCAACAATTTAAACATAGAAGTATTCATCCGGTCAAAAAAGGAATATATTGACTCGAGGTGTAAAATCTCAAGAACACTCGAGTTTATTCATGCACACAAGCCTCACCATTAGTTAATTGTATCGTTTACTTTGCTTACCTATTATTTATTCACTGGTTTCATGTGATTTCCTGTGATTCATCACAATATTTTTCTTGTGTTCTGAAAACTCTCACCTCTGAGTATTTAGAATGTCGTTTGTTTTCATAAAAAATCAAGCGATTTTTTAAGTTGCTTTTGATTAACTCTAATTGCACGATTACTTGCATGGATTTTTATTAATGGTAATTTAGGTTCCGGATGAAGTAGCATCTGTTCAGAGTCTTATGCATCATGATTATAAAAGTGATTTAAGATACTTTTGATATACATTGCCTACTTGATATGCAACGAACTAATCGAATTCTTCAATTGAACAAGCACAACTATGAGTGCTTTCATTTCCCTGCTATAATTTTCAATTCTTTTCACTCTTATACAGCACGGATAGATGTTAATATTTAATTTTAGACTAATGAATACATAGAAGATGAACCATCAGTACATCCCAGATCACCGTCACAAACCAGGAGAGTCGGAGCATTAGATTTCTACGCAGAGCGAGATCGATGTCTTCGAGTATGTCATCGTTATGAAGCATCGTCCACGCTTCCATTGCTGATTACTGTTATCACTGTTCATATGTCATGATCATTATTAGTTGTTATTACCACTTTACTTTGTTATTACTTTACTTCCACCTGTCGTTACTGTGTCATAGTTGTGATCACTCTTATCATCACTATTTTAAATCATCGCTATTGTTCTAAAAAGTGAATGGAAATCTCATGACTCACACCAAATCGCAATTCCACGCAAATTTTTAAGTAATTGATGTAGCGATTTTCCGAGTTGAATATTCTTCCTCGAAATGCTCAATGTCGCTCGACTACAAAATATTTCCAGGAGCGTCGTTTATTCGAAGATCCTGAATTTCCGGCAAGCGACAAGAGTTTATTCTTCAGTAAAAGTAAAGCACCACGAAAACGCGTTGAATGGAAGAGACCCGGGGTACGTTTTGTTAATTATTCGAATTGAAATTTGTAATTTCAAAAAATATGGCTCGCTAAATAACCGCACTCTAATTTCACATTTCATCTGGATTACGCATTCATAATGGAAGTAAAAAATCGAGAATGTTCCGTTGATCGCGTTAATAATTATCGCTCTTTTTGAGGAAATCATTGATGCTCCACAATTGATCTACGAGGGCCAGTCACGTTTCGACGTGGTTCAAGGAGATTTGAACGATTGTTGGTTACTTGCAGCTGCAGCGGATCTGACACTACGTGATGAACTCTTCTATCGTGTCGTTCCACCAGATCAGAGTTTCACCGAGAATTATGCAGGTGGGTCATCACGTTTCTGCGTTCACTCGAATCTCTTTCATTCGCCTGAAACGATTCGATTTTACGCTGGAAGAACCGATACATGCTAAGTTGTTTTCCCCGTCTTCTAGGAATATTCCATTTCCAATTCTGGCAATATGGTCATTGGGTGGACGTTGTG